ATCACAATTGATTCTGATTTAATTATCCCCGAGATGTCATTTTCAATCAAATGTTGGGTTCTGTTTGTCAAATAGGATTTGATTAAGTCCAAAGATGTGCTTTTGATTCCATATTTATCAAGTTTGTTGCATAAAATTTCATGGCTGACACTGTCAAATGCTTTTGACAGGTCAATACACAAAGTTACAGTACAATCATCTTTGTTCAAATGGTGTAAAAATTTTTCTATGGCTTGATATATTGCTTGTACGGTTGATTTACCTTTACGGAATCCATTTTGTTCTTTTGCTAACAACACATTATCATCTAAAAACTTGAGTAAACGTTTATTCATGAGCTTTTCAAAAATTTTACTGGGATTTGGCAATAATGATATGGGTCTGTAGTTAGTTTCTTCATCTCTGTTTCCTTTTTTAAATATAGCTTTAATAGATGCCACTTTCAGTACTTGTGGGAATATTGCTTGTGAGAAACATAAATTTATAATATAAGTCAAAGGATAGGCTATGATCTCTGCTGTTTCTTTCAATAGACACATAGGAATCTGATCTTCTATGGATACTTATATGCCGACTCTCTCCAATTGTATGGAAGAAAAAGGTTCGTCTTTCGACAAACCAAGCCGAAATCTGCTGCTCGCTGCCCATCCAGCCAAGAATTAAGAAATCTGGCCAGGTGACGGTGGATACTTGGTAGTTTCTCCTACCAATAATAGTTTAATGAATCCGGGCCTGAAGCAGCAAAGTTCTTATTACCCAAAAGGGATCTTCAAAGGATTATTATCAATATTATATTATTGTTACCTCAGCGACCTCCGGTTCTGCCGCTCTCTGGGTCTCCAGTATTGCCTCGAACTGAGATTCATCGGAGCTCCAGTACTCCATGAGAACGTTCTGCTTTCCGCTCGTGCATTTCCTTTGGCTTTTGCGACTGGCCACTCCGATGCACTCCTTTAGTTCTTGCTCAAGGTTGATGCAGTTGTCTTCCTCCTTGCCGTTCTTCTTGCTCGAGCGTTTCTTAATCGTTTTGTTCAGGCTGAATTCATCGTCGCTAGATGCGGAATTGGTACGGGCTCTTTTTTTGCCTGGAAACGAACAATAAACATATAATTTAGGAGAAAGTAATAGCTGATAAATCAAGTTGGGTTTCATTGTGTTAATTATTTCTTAGAATTGGTGACAAATAATATCAGAAGAGGCTAGAAGACATTACAATACAGATTTTCTCAAACAAATGTTGAAATGTCTAAACAAATATCAGATATTTTTCAAATATAGTCAGTGGGCATACTTGAAGACTGGCTATAAATCAAATCATCTAAAGGAACAATTCGTTCAGACCAGTTTCAACTACCTACACTGTAGGTTAATGAATCCTGCACTGACACCTGTCTAATATAATCCAACGCCCTTCGTGGTATTAGCCAGGGGAGTAGTTGTTTTCTGACACCTGCACTGACACCTGTCAGATATGATCCAACGCCCTCCGTGGTATTAGCCAGGGGAGTAGTTGTTTTCTGACACCTGCACTGACACCTGTCAGACATGATCCAACGCCCTACGTGGTATTAGCCAGGGAAGTAGTTGTTTTCTGATAGGTGTCAGTTCATTAGAGAGAGAGAGAGAAAGAACTTTATTGTCCAAAGAACAGAATTCTTGTTAACAAAGTTTAGAAATACATTTATGTATGTACACATATATCTATATATACACACACACACACACATATACATATGTAACACAAAGGGATCAA